ATTTCCATCATAGTAAATAACCAATTACTCCATCAGTTATTGTTTGTATTCTACACATAATGAGTACAAGAACACTGAATGAAATCATGATATGAAAATAAAAAGAATAGGGTCTAAATAATTGCTTATGTTCCGCTTTTTGAAGAGTATTAAACAGAGAATTAATTATTGAGAAGAAGATTTTAGAGCAAATATTAAAGCTTTGACGAGTATATATAATACAATGGTGAATAACAAACAGATTCATTACATAGATTAATAGAAATCAGTCGATTCTGAACTATGAACAAAGTAGTTGATATAATAAATACAAGTCTCAATTTGACTATTAGAAATGATATGAATATATAAGATTAGTTTAGATGAAAAATGATGAGTAGTTCAGTATCTTTAGCAACATTAGTGCTGAGATCTTTAATATTTTCAAACAATTTTCTCTCTATAACAGTAGAAACTCTTCACAATGATAAAAGCAAACATTTTGGTCTGGTCGTACTACTTTATCAAATAAGTTTTTGCTGTTTAAAAAAATTTAAATGAAAATAAATAATTAAAGTTCTTCAGATGAGAACTGACATAATTAATTTTCCTCTCAATGATCAGAGGTATTCAAAAAGAATTTTCTTTTATTTAAATAGCGCGACCACTCACTTATTATTAAGAGAGCGTCCACAAGGAGACCAATAAATCGAGACATTCGTCAACAATTTCTCTTTTATTAGTTTTTGATGGACAGTCGAAAGATCATCATCTACATGTATATTTTGTCACTAATGAAATCTTTTCGTAAAGTTTTGTTTATCGTATGTCAGTGCAAAATAATCAATGAAAATATACTTACTGATCATAAATACCGAGTGGGCCAAAAGTTTTGCGACATTTCCTATTTCCCATATATCTCGACTTGAGTAAATGATAACATCTTGATTTTTTTTGAAAAGATGCGCCGTGAAAAGTTCTTCAAAGCCTGTATAAAGAAATCCCTATTAACTGGTTCTGATGGTTTTTCCCATACTCAATATGAATAATCCACATGATGATAATTCCTAGTCCCCAGAGTATTCAGCATAATAAAAATGTTTGGAAGACTTTTTTGTTTTGCATTGGGAATTTGTACATACAGGTGGCGTAGGGTTTTCGATGGAGCATCTTTCAAAAAACAAATCAAGATGTTATCATTTTCTGAAGCCGAGATAAATGTAAAACAAAAAAGCCTTCCAAACATGCTAAGCAGTAGCGCTGTCATGTAAGTTGTTCATTTTGAGTATGCAAAAAAATCATCAGAACCAGTTAATAGGGATTACTTTAAATAGTTTTTGTAGAGCTTTTCACAAAGCATCTTTTAAATAAAAATCAAGCTGCTGTCATTTTCTCAAGTCGAGATATATATGAAATAAGAAATGTCGCAAAACTTTTGGCACACCCGGTATATATTTAATCAACATATATTATGGATTTGTTTATTGTCAGTCGCGTGGTTTTTTAAACATGAATTGGTTTTCAAATAAGCCAATGATATGCTTTATTCGTTACAAAATTTGTAGTACTGTAATAAAGATTGACATTATAAGAAAAGAAAAAAAATCCTCGTTTTATCAAACAACAAAAACACACACTGAAATCATTTTCTGTTATTAAACAAAACGATATGACAATATGAGTTTAATAAACAACAACGAATATTGAGAAAAAGAAAACATGTGAAGATAATAAATAGAAAAAGATTAAAATATTTAAGAATGAGACAAGAAAAAGAAAATTGAGAATTTCATTCTATCACATTTTCAAGATGTGAAAGTATAGATTAGATTATCAATATCATCATCATCGAAATAATCAATTCTATTAAGGTCATCTATATTTATTGTCAGATTATTTTCATTTAATAAATAAATTAATTGTCGATATTCTTCAATTTATTCATTTGATCGATTTAATTTATTACCCAGTCTAAAATAAAATTTTTTCATTGATAAAAAATAAAAATATAAGAAGAAATATGCTTAACAATCATCAATAACATGCAACTAATACAAAACTAAGAAACGAAAAAAGGGGCATGCTTTAAATATAAATCTATATATAACCCACCTGATTTTGTTAGACAACTGTCTCATGCGCGCACAGCCTGAAAGAGAGAGAAGAAAAGCATGCAAAATTACTATTGTAATAATTAAAGATTAGAAAAAAAAAGACAAATTATTTATTTTTTCCATTATTATTAAATATATCTAGATAATTATTTTTTTACTAACCGTTCAGGTTGTTTATCAAATTCAATTCGACGACATTTTTCTTCTTGATATAAATTTAATATTGGTGAACGTTGAGGAAGAACAATATTCTAAAATAAAATAAAAACAAATATTTTATAAATTTAATTATTATAAATAATTGTTACTTTATTCGATGAAGTTTGATCAAGTGCTTTAACACCCAGTTTTGGTAGTAGTTGTTGTTGAGATGGTAAAATCGATTGTCTTTTAGTTGTTCCACTAAATTCATCATTTGTTTTTAAACAATAATAAGCTGTTAATGTTGCTGAAGAATTTTTATTTGTGTTTGATATATTTATATTTGATGATGCTAAACTTTGTGCACTTCTTGTCATATAACCATTATTTAAAACAAATAATAGTCGTTGTTGTAAAGATTGTCGACTAATTGAATGAACAAGAAGTTGTTGAGAAGAAGAAGGAGATGCACTTTGAAGAGATTCAATAGAAAGACTATTCACAAAATAAAAAGCTTTAGATGATTCATTTTGAGTTTGATTTAAATATATTTGATCATTATCATCATCATCTCAATCACTTTGAATATGTTCTTCTTTTTGAATGATCTGTTTATTAAAAAGTAGATTTTTAAAAAAGACTAGTGTACGAATATTTTCTTTACTAAGATTTTTCAGTTGTTATTGTTGATGATGTTGATATTGAATGATAATCTTGTAATGAGCCATTTTTTGTATCTGTTGTACCAGTTAATGATAATGATATTCGACTACCGTATGATGATAAACAATTATAAAAATGTTCTTATAAGGATGTAAATATGTTTGTGTACAATTTTGTGTTGTTGAATAAAATAATTTTATATTTGTTAATTCATCTAATGCTCAACGAGTATTTAAATCAATTTGTTCGAATATATCAGCAAGAGTTGAATAAAGGATTGAATATTTTCGATGTACGATAAAACAAAGATTTTCAGATAAATTATTTGAATAGTAATAAGAAACTAACCTAAATCAATATGACATTTATCATCATGAAGGTTTATATTTGAAGATCGTGGTTCATAATAATCATGATCGATTGTCTACAAAAAAATTTCTTAAATAATCATTTAATCTTCTTGTTTTACTTACAGATATATTTGCTAAAAATCTTCGCATATTTTCTGATTCATTTCCAATAAAATCATTCATAAATTTCATATAAGATTCTTTTCGGTCAAATCTGAATCAAAAATTTCATTTAAAATGAAAATTCAATTTTTATTTGTTACTTAGAAAAATTGGGGAGTGGGTGAGTGTGAGTATTCACGGAGAGATTACCCACATCCACACCCTGCTGATGCACAGGTTATTTTCGTGTTTTGTTATCTAAGTATTTTCTTCGTATGATACTTGTGGTATTCAAATAATAAGTTTTCGTGTTTATTTTTTTTTTTGATTTATCAAATTAGTTGTTATTCACCAAAAGAATGATGATGCTTAAGAAAGGTATCTCATGAATTGATTATAAATGGCTGAAAGGATTAATAAATGCTTCACTTAATCAGAAACTATATGTATAGTGTGTGTCCTGTTTAATATCTTGTTTTGCTCCGTCCTATTCCGTGATTGTTCCTGCTTCAAACTCACCCTTCAGAGACGATGCAGAGCATTTCAGAATACAGAAAGAAATACACACCTGTTTGAAGCTTTCAAGGATAAAAAAGGTGATCTTAAGAGCAAAGGAAATTAATTATATTTTGTAATCCCCTATTTCTTTTCTCTGCTCCCTATCATATAAATATTACACACATTCATTTTCATTAAAATCAGAATAGAAATGTCTATCAACCTACTCGTCTTTTTATTGCTTGCTCTCGGTGCAGTGGCCTTCGCTCATTTGCCCATCCCAGGCAAACCTGTCACTACCCCATTTGGTAAACCCGGTAGTTGGGCAGCTGGTTATCATACTGGCGCCGATTATGCATGTCCAATTGGAACAAGTGTCCGTGCAACAGCGAGTGGCACAGTGAAAAATGTGAACTTGGGTGCAGACTACGGCACTCACATTGTTATTGAATCTCCGGATAAAGTTCGTCAACTCTATGCACATTTGAGCCAGAAACTGGTCAACGTTGGTCAAAACGTCAAAGCGGGAGATGTGATTGCGAAGAGTGGGAATACAGGAAGATCAACTGGACCACATCTTCACTATGAAGAACGAGTTTCCCCGTATGGCTATAATAATCATCGAAAACCACAGTTGAACATAGCGCATTAGTTAAAATGTTGTTCTTCTGTTTTGGGGTTTTTTTAAAGTATCATAAAGTTCGTGACAGTTATTGAAGCAGAGGTTGCTTTGAAGAATTCTGAAGGGTATGGGTGTGGATGTGGATGAGGGTGTAATAGAGATGAACACAAACGCCCACACCATTTTGTGTGATGAAAGTTTGTTACTAATTCTGTTAAAAGTCTTTTCATAGCATCACTTATTGATGCTCTTACTTTTTTCGTTTTCTCTCTCTCTCTACAAAGACGTGCGAAGTGGAATAAATTCTTTATATCAACAGAATGGGGTTTTTGTCCGAAATACAGCAATAAAGAAAAACATGCAAATTGTTTTTTAAACAGTTAAGAAAATAAAGAATTAAACAATATTTTTTTAAACGTTTTTGAAATAAAATTTTGGAAAGCAATCTGTTCGTATTTTGAATTGAACTCATCAGAAATTCTAATTTGTACGCACTAGATTATGTAGGAAATTATTGTAATCGACATTTTTCTATTTACGTATGTTTCATACGAAAAACTCCGATGATAAGTAAAATTCTTCAAGTTTGAATACATATGAAGTATTTTGTAAAATAAATGAAAATGTGTTAGAAAACTAGAAAACAAAATGAGATAGTACTAATTTCATAGGTATTTAAAAACTTTGTTTCTTTCATTTGGTGAAACACCATCTGAAAGGAGTGTTGAAGTGTATATAGATAGAAATTTTCACCCCCCACAGACTGTGGCACATATTGGGAGAAGCCGTTCCAGAGTGTCTTCAAGGACACTCTCATCCCCTTAAAAGCATGACACATAGTGTGAGAATCTATATCAAAGATGATGGCGGCTGGTTATGAGTCGAAGACAAAGTACGAAGATATGAAACCAGTATGCCTGTTTTTACAAACAGGAAGAAGAAGAAAGCATGAAACTCATTTTCTTCAATATTTCTTTTTATATTAATTATGTCTTCTGTAATAATTACGATTAGCTATCTTGATAATACTTCTTCTAACATACATATAAATCTGTCCTGAGCTTTCAACTAAAATTCTATTACCTAAATTTTGCATATCTAACTAGTTAAACTGAGTATATCGTGTTTTACATTTTTAAACTCGCAAGGGATTGCGCTAACAGTTTTTATTACATATTTTTACTACTTTTGATATTTAGAGACTTTGCTATTTTAATACATTTTGTAATATAAAAATATTTTCATTCTTCATGATTATTTTGTTGAACAATATTGACTTATGAATAATATGACACTAAAATCGGTAACAACAGATAATAAAAATTCATCATTGATTCCAAAAAAACGTGCGGCAATAGATCCAACTGGATGCATAGGCTCGTTCTATGATGGATAGGGTGGATGTGAGTGTGGGGTGTTGGTGAGGATGGAAGTGGACATTCACCTCGATATTCACACTCACACCCACACCCTTTTTGTTAACCTAGTTCAAGCTATGTAATAAAAGATGATTTAAAATTTGCTTTTTGATTGTCTATACCAGAACCAATGAATGATGGAGAGTGTTGTGCAAATAGTAATAGCCACCACGTTCAACATGATTATGATTTTGATATTGCACTGTATTCTGAAAGGTACGAGAATAAGTGATTCCTTGTTTCAAAATATCTTAGTCGACAGAACTCGTGATCAATTTCTATGTATATGTTGCTCGTGGAACAATGAGAAAAGTATATGTTGCCATCATATGCATTTTGCATTCTATGATATTGTTTTTGTTAACCGAATGTTTGACAATTTTCTTTTTCGCGAAAATAAATACAATATTTCCTTATTAACTTCAGTCATTATCATGCACATACGACAATTAATTTGCTGTAGTCTTGGGAAAAAAAGGTTTCTATATTCGTCCTATAATAGCTATAATCATCTAACCATAATGGAATAGAGTGAATGCGAATGATGTCAAAATTTTTAGTACTCTATCGTACGAAACTAGAATAGTAATTGAAAAGTGCTTAAGATTTATCAATTGTATTTTATAAGAATATGGCCAAAGCTAGAAAAAAGAGAAGTCGACCATGAAAATTAATCTATCTAAACTTTCGTTCACATGATCCTAATAGAATGACTATTTTTTTCTGATGAGAATAATTCGTTTTGACAATTCTCGATCATTCAAGAGTGATCATGAAATTTTGCAAAAACTGGAATAA